CATCGTTGGCACAACAATTTCTACTGCAATGGATAAATAGAGAAAATGCTTATTTATTGAATTATGCATCCCTGGACCCCTTCGAGCATCATATACGACCGTATGCATATTGCCAAAATTGGCTCCCTGAGTACTTGGAGTACGATTTCATTCAGCTTTTCCGAGTGCACAGAGCTGCCTTTAATAGCTTATTGCAACAAATTCACCAGGGATTAAGTATTCCATATGTAGGAGGAGAAATGCCAATATCCCCAGAAAAAAACTCATGATGACTTTGTGGTGGCTTGGAAAAGGAGAAACTCTTTTGTCGGTTTCTCATAAATTTAATGTGGCTTTGTCAGCAGTCCACAAGTGCATATATGTTGTATTAGATGAAATTATTAATTACTAATAAATACCATTTATTATTTGAGTAGTGTTAGATTTCAAACTAAACCGACAACGGTAACAACCAACTATAACCTCAAACTCTCAAACAAAAGAAGAAATCCAACCGAACAACAACAAACAAAACCGACAGCGCATGCGTCTATTTTTGGAACATGCCATGAGTCCGGTTCGAACTTTTTTGAACCAGGTTCAATGTGACGTCACTGGTTCAACGCGAGAATGTACAGTTTCGAAACGAATTGAACCGGGTTCAACCAGTTCCATCGCGAGAAAACGGCTTTGGTTAATTTTTTGTTATATTCGGACCATCATAGCCTTGTGTTCTTGATCGTCGAGTATCTGAGAATTTGCTGGTGGGGGGAGTATTACAGAATTGACACATCACATAATCCAGCATACACGACTATGCTTGATTATCCTCGCGAAAAAAAAAATAGCCTTGCAAATCTCCTTAACGCATCCCAAATGCGTCATCAAAATACCCATTACCAGACAACCTATTAACTTTCGGAACCTTGGAATTGAAGACACCAAGGTAGAGTGTAGGCAAGGATATTGTAGGAATAGGAACCTTGGAAGAGCAGCTTCAAAGCAAAAGAGTTCAGTTCAGAGTTTCGCGCAACTGAACCTGTTCGTTTTTCATCTCCCCTGGCCATGCCCTCTCAATCACCGGCAATCTTCCGCATGTGGCTAAATTATTCAGCTGGTGTAGGCACCGTGGTGGAATGGTAGAGCAAGCAGTGTTGTTAAATTGAACAGGGTTTGACAAGCTGTGGTTTGGCATTGGCATTAGTGAATTTTTAACACCGCATCCGTGGCGGTGCAACATTCTGGTGAATTTAGCAACACGCGGTTTGTGGGTGCATCAAAAACACGACGCTTAAAGTAGGGTGCGTTCCAGTAAAACAACAGTTGTTTGGAGCACCAGAGTGTGAAGCTGCGGGTGTGGAGCACCTTAATTCGTCACTGGAAAGCGGCTCTGCTAACTTTATGACGTCATCTGGGGTGCCACAACATAATGCAAATCTCCATTAGACACCCCAGATGCGTCATCAAGTTACCCATTACCAGACAACCTAAAGTCTGTTTTTTTTTAAGATAAAAGTCAAAATGACATTATGTTGGAAATACAATGTGAAATTGTCAATGCTTTCAAATTTTTTATGTAGAAAAGGCTCGTGTTGCCAACATAGTTACTAAAATTTTGACTTGGGGAATTATCTTAAAAAAAACATAATTTATTAACTTTAGGAACCTTTGGGTTACGCTTAGGTTCAAAATGACAGATTACTTGATGACGTCATTTCATTGAATTCGCTTAAACGCGTTTGGTTAACCTCGGTTATTTTACCTGTGTTGTGTAGTGTATTTGTTGAGTTCATCCTTTATTGTTGATGTTATGCTGACCGGGGAAGCATCTCAAGCATCTAAGACATTTCACTAGATTCGGCACCCGTCTAAATCGATTCCGATTTAAATAATCTTCTGATATGATGCCGAAACGCATAGTGGAATATGTAAGCGGTGCTCAAATCATAAGTGGAATGTTCATAATCGTGATGTGTAAACTAATAGTTTTTTTTTTTAAAGATAAAAGTCAAAATGACATTATGTTGGCAATACAATCACCCTTTTCACGTGGCTCTGGTTTAACAAACCGCAACATACCGCTCAAATTCGAGTGGTAGGTATCCATCACGTCACTTTGTAACCGGGGCTGGGATCACGAAAAGTAGCATTCTACTTTCGTGACGTCAAGTTGCCTAGCAACCGTCATCATCGCCTGTTCTGTACGCGATAAATAGGTCGCGGATGACGTCATGAAAGTGGAATTCTACTTGTCGTGATCCCATCCCAGGTTAGAAAACGGTATGTCATTTCTCTAACCGTTTTGTAACCCGGTTAGTTAAACCGGAGCCACGTGAAAAGAACTAATGTAAAATTGTCAATGCTTTCAAATTTGTTAGGTAGAAAAGGCTACAGTGGCTAAATAAACCTTTACATACAGTGGCGACAATAGAGGTCCCGCCGCCATCTTGTTCCCAACCTCTTGTTACTTTTAAATATTAATATATAGGATTCAAATGGACATCTATCATAAAAAATTGAAATCGACGTATTTGATGACCATTATTAGGTCCATCAAATATGTTATTTTCCATGATTTATGATGGATGTTCACCTAAATCCCATATATTCATATTAAAAAGTAACAAGGGGTTGGGAACAAGATGGCGGTGTTTTCAATATAAATATATGGGATTTTAGAACCAATCAAAAATGAGACAGCAATTGTCGCCACTGTGGGTTATAAAGTCACTGTAGAAAAGGCTTGCGCAATGAACTATAACCAAAAACTGGAATGCTAACACATAAGTAAGAACGTGAAGCCTAGTGCAGCTGCTGCGGAGGGGATACCTGTTTTTGTCGCACTCATTATGTTAAATGGCGAAAATTGCTTCCAACACGAATTCCAATTGATGAAACCTGTGAAGGAAAATATGTCAAAACTTTCGAAAACGTCATGTCATATGTCAGCGAGCAACAGAAAAAAACAACATTCCCCCTTGTGGCATCTGTCTTTCATGGCTTCATTTTTTGGGCAGATATGGCAATGTGCGCGCATTCCAGTTTTTGGCTATAGTTCATTGGGCTTGCGTTGCCAAACTAAGGGCGGATATTATAAAACTGCTTTGACAGTTAATTTGAAGTTAACTTTTTGAATTACATGTAATTTTAGAAGTTAACTTTAAGTTAAGCGTCAGCTGGAAAGCGGCTATAGTTACTAAATTTTTGACTTGGGGAATTATCTTTAAAAAAAAAAACATACTTTTGCGACTACAGGCTACAAGAAGTGCTGAGTCACGAGTAGAATGTCAGGTAGGTAGGTACCCAAAACGAGAGTGCAATGCCGTATGATTATTTCTGCGCTACGCCTGGGCCTAATTACTGAAATGTAGAAGTTTTCAAATAGGTAACTTTCCTTGTTTTTCGAGGTGATTCAATGGCAGCAATTATCCAGTTAAGTTCCCCAAAATCTTGTAGAGGGCGCGAGTGAACTTGGATTGCTTTAAATTTTGGCGGTAAATGTCAATAGTTTTAAACCGTTTAAATTGAGTAGAAGGGAAGATGACTACATATGAACAATGGACAGTGAATAAGTTAAAATATCTTCTAAAACGTTCAGTGGCCCTTAGAGAATATTTTTAAAAGTGTCGGCGTCAGCTTGTCTTGAAACCACACGTCAAACTTAACTTTTGAGGTTAAATTACAATCGATTATTCACGCGCCAAAATTTGAAGTGTTCCAAGTACAGAAGCGCCCTCTTCAACTCAACTGTCAATATTAATTACATTACATGCCATTAAAAACAACTATAGTATTTTTCTTAGAGCAGGTAAAGCGCTGTCCTACGGACATAAGGAGTAGGAACGCGCCATTCTGCTTATGAAACTAAAGTGAAGCTAGTTTTTGGCAGGTGTTTGGCACCAAAATACAGGTAGAGCATTGAATTGCCATAACCGCCATTTTTTGTGGGCCAAAATACCTGGAAAAAAACGGCTTCATTTTCCAAATCCAGGTTACTACTCCTTTACCTATACCTGCTCTAAGGTATTTTTAAACCTATTTGCAAGTACCAGTCGTTCTAGTAATGACTTAACGTATGTCGCTTCTTGAACACACAGAACACAGATAAAATTTTATTTTACATATAGTATGAACATACACACCGAACAGGTTCTTATCCTATCGAGCGCGCTCGGAGTTTACTGATGGCGTTTCCGATTGGTATATCTAATGCAGAACTAGTGCAATTTTTTCTATTCCTGTCTTTTTCTTCTACAGGTCGAATAGAAGGATGCAAATACACTCAGTGCGCACTGAATCTGCCAATCGGAAACGCCATGGAGTGTAAGACGAACGCTCAAGCTCCACCCGCTCCGTACTTGGAGAGGAAAAACGAACGCACTCAGAGTGGTTTTCAAATCCGTTCATGGGTCGGTTTTTGACGTGTTGGAACCAATGAACTAGAGCTAAAAACTGGAATGCGCACACATTGCCATATCTGCCAAAAAAATGAAGCCATGAAAGACAGATGCCACAACGGGGAATGTTGTTTTTTTCTGTTGCTCGCTGACATATGACGTTTTCGAAAGTTTTGTCATATTTCCCTTCACAGGTTTCATCAAATGGAATACGTGTTGGAAGCAATTTTCGCCATTTAACATAATGAGTGCGACAAAAACAGGTATCCCCTCCGCAGCAGCCGCACTAGGCTTCACGTTCGTCCTTATGTGTTAGCATTCCAGTTTTTGGTTATAGTTCATTGGTTGGAACAAACCTCATGAGTTCTTTTCACGTGGCTCCGGTTTAACTAACCGGGTTACAAAACGGTTAGAGAAATGACGTACCGTTTTCAACCCGGTTACAAAGTGACGTGTGGATAATACCTACCACTCGAATTTGAGCGGTATGTTGCAGTTTGTTAAACCGGAGCCACGTGAAAAAGGTTATGGAAAATAAACATTTACAGTTTCCTGTAAAATCATAAAACTGACCAAGAGAAACAGACAAACTATAAACGAGACGGCAAGAGACAAATTCAGTATGGCTGCGACACCTCTGACAGCTTGACTTCAAAATATTAAAAACACGGCACGGGAGAAAAAAGTGCAAATAAATAATTAGAAATAGTCCTCAGAACGAGCGCGACGCGTAGAATAACGGTAAATTAAATAAAGTTCATTATCTCGGGCCGCCAATCGATCATAGTTATGCGCGAATCGGTAAAAACATAGTTTTTAGTGCTGTTTTTGTGACCACCTGGCTTACAATTACATGGCCGGGCCCCGATCTTTATAAGAAAATTATGGGCGACAAATGTTTTGCAACCAATTACTCAAGGTCTCTAGTATTGAATTGGTAAATAAAAGTCCAAATGGTATAACTTTAATTCAATTTATTTATGCTTTGCTGATAAGGAATCCTGTGATCAAAAAACCAATAAATATTAATTTGTTTTTGGTTGGTTCTTCATAGTATCTTCCTATAGAGGTGGGTTAGGGTTTTGCCCCTAAAAAAGTAACTCGAGTACTCAATTTCTAATTATACAATTAGTTTAAACAAACAATGCCATAAAACACCTATTTATTATTTATAAATATTGTTACCTACCCTAATTTTTTTCTAATGGGTGTCAGGCTCGGTGTCAGGTATTGGTGAGGTATTGGATATACCTTTAGCCTTACTAAATCAATATTTAAGAAAGTTGCTTAAACCTCTGGCAACTTTTTTTGAATAGTACCTAGGTATCTCAGAGGTAGGTATAGGTTCTTCAAAATTATTGAGATTAGGTATGGGTTTTTCAAGCAGTGTTGAATGTATTTGCTAAGTGCTTACCATTACCTACCACATCATTATTTTTGAATCGCAGCTGAATCCCAATTCATTCATTTCATAAAAGTAAGGGGTTCTTAAATGCTGTATGAATTTACCCCATTTGTATACTAATCTAAAATATATTCCGAGGTCTATGATAAGGTAGGTACATTTATTTATTTATTTATTTACGTATAAGAAAAATACATTTGAAGTTGAACAGAGTTTACATCTAAAAAAAAAAAAAAATCTAACCTAAAACAATTCTCCTGGCCTTCATCTTAAATTTATCCAGAGATAAACCAAAGAACTCAAGGCCCTCACAGAACTTATTTACATTGGCAGATATTCTATTCACAGGACTGAATAGTAGGTACCAGGTTCGACAGTAAGGAATGTGCAGTAAAGATTTACTTCGTGTCTGATAACTTTGAATGTGTAGATTAAAACATTCAAGACATTCGTGGCTTTTTATGTAGTAGTTAAGAATTTTAAATGCAAAACAGACATCAAAATATTCCCTTCTGCGAACAAGAGTAGATAAGTCTAAATAAGTCATAGTCAGGTCATCACTGAGAATTACACCACTCAAAGAAAGTTTGTACCTTGCAAACTTAATAAATTTGTGTTGAACACTCTCAAGCCTATTGATGTGGATCTGATAGTAAGGTGACCAAACTATGCATGAAAATTCAAGAACGGACCTGACCAGTGATGTGTAAAGAATTTTGATAGGGCGTATACTTGTAAAGTCCCTAGTAGCTCTCTTAATAAACCCCAACATTTTATTAGCCCTGCCAATTACCACTTCAAAATGCTCAGTGAACATTAGCCTAGTATCTAGATAGACACCAAGATCTTTAATGATAGAAACTTCAGACAAGCGAACATTGTTTAAGTAATACTGCAAGGGAACACTATGGGTGCGTCTACTGAATCTTATACAACAGCACTTATCGATGTTGAGGGACATGTAATTAAGCTGACACCAATCGTGAACGATGTTAAGATCATTTTGCAAAATAAGTATGTCTTGAGTTGACGTCACCTGACGATACAACTTCAAGTCATCAGCAAAAAGTAAAAAATTTGATGAGAGCAACGATCCTAAATCGTTGATAAATAAGCTGAATAGAAGGGGGCCCAAGTGAGAACCTTGGGGTACCCCAGAGGATGCATGGAAAAGAGAAGAAAGATAGCCATCGATCTTGACTTGTTGCATTCTGTTAGTAAGGTATGATTTCATCCATGAAAATAAATGTCCAGAAACGCCGAAACTTGAAAGCTTTGAAAGAAGGATGTTGTGATTTACCTTATCAAAGGCTTTACTGAAGTCAGTATATATTGCATGAGTTTCTGCATTATTAGCAAATGATGAATTTATGAATGTTGTAAAGAGAAACAGGTTCGTCTCAACGGATCTACCGGCTGTAAAACCGTGCTGTTGACTGATCACAATCTGATGAAATATTTTTGAAAGAATTCCTTCCACGCACTGCTCAAATAATTTTGGAATCGCAGACAGAATGCTGATGGGTCTGTAATTTATTACATCATTTTTGCTGCCTGACTTGTAAATAGGACAAACGTAGGAGAGCTTCCACATTTCTGGAAAAATTCCAGAAGATAATGATTTGTTGAAAATATTAAACAGAGGAAGATACAAAGTGTTAGAACAAGATTTTAGTACTTTGTTGGGAATACCATCAGGTCCTGCAGACTTGTTGATGTCCAATTGCGTTAAAGCCCTCTCAATATCTGTTGGATCTATGACAATGCTTGAAACATTCTCAAATCGATCAGCAAAGGTTCCAGCATCGGAATTTCTCTGAGGGTTATAGACGGAGGAGAAATAGACAGCAAAAAGATTAGCTATGTCAACACCGTTGGACGCCTTTTCTGAGGCAAGAAACATTTCGTTAGGAATAGTACCCTGATTAGATTGGGAGTGAATAAAGTTCCAAAAAATTTTCATATTGGTGCCTATGGCTCTTTCAGTATCACTTATGTATAATTTATAGCACTCTTTGGTGAGGTTTTTACAATCTCGCCGAAGTGTACTAAATTCAAAGTAATCCAAACCTCTATTCGACCGCTTGAATCGTCTGTGAGCAATTTTCTTTTGAAAAATCAGATTTTTCAATTCGTTAGAGAACCAGATAGGAAATTTCTCGCTGTAAGAATGTGCCTTTATTGGAACAAACATATTAAAGCAGTCGAACAGTACCAAGTAAAAGCTCTTAACAGTTTCGTTAAGATCGTCCATCATAATGGATCGCCAATCAAAGGAAAGAAAATATTCATTAACCAAATCAAAATTGGCATTTTTAAAGTCATAAGAAAAATAATTAAGAGGCTTCAGAAATTTAGCTTTAACAACAGGTATGGAAAACTCTAGAGCTGGGTGATAACGATCACATCCCACCAGACCGTCAGATGTTACAAGTGAAATAGGCCCAAAGTTGGCAAAACATAGATCCAGGATTGAACCATGATCGTTAGCCACCCCATTGTATTGAGACAGATTAAGAGAAGCAGTACTATCGCATAACAATATTTCCTTAGTTGTCCTTACATTTCCAGGTAATAAACCCGAGAGATCCTCACTAGTGGACCACGTTATTTGGGAAAGATTATAATCTCCAAGAACAAGCACATTATCAAACATTTCACAGGCACTAGCAACTGATTTCAAATGGTTTTCATAATGGAGCACATCCATGGTAGGTGGAATGTAGACACAGCCAATACAGAAGACCATGTCACCCAGCGTAACAGACACCCACGTTTCCTCGACCGATGCTTCACCAATTGACAGGCGATGAGATTTTAGGCAATTATTTACTGCCAAAAGGACCCCACCTCCACGGCTTTTAGTACTGTTCAGACTGCTTCTATCAGAGCGATAAACCGTGTAACGCGAGTCAAGAAATTCGGCATCACAGATACTACAGTCTAGCCAGGTTTCCGTAAGTGCAATAACTGAGAAAGACTCGGCGCGAGCCGCACAGAAAGCATCTTTGAGTTTGGTTTTTAAGCCTCTTACATTTTGGTAGAGAAAGGAAGCACAATCTAACGAGACTGGTCCTCTCTGTCTCCTCTCTGAAAATTTGCATTGGACGGTTTTGCCCCCATACGACGAGGATGAAACTCCTTGACAGCAATGCCTACTGGCCAGAGGTTAGGATCCAGCAGGCCCTTCAAAAGTGATTCTTTAACCCCAATTTTAAATGAAACCACATCTTCATTTTTGTCCAACACCAAGCATTTGACATCAGGAATGGAGAGCTGATTCTTCAAATAGTTAGAGATCTGTTCCTCAGTGGTACTCGGATCACATCGACCCAGATATAGCCACTGGCGTCTCTCACCTGCAGAAAAAAGACCTCCATCAGCACCTGTGCCAATTAATACAGGATTATTACTTGAGCGGTCCGATACTCTCACAGGATTAGGCACTGATTGGCGCTCTATGCTGCGGATCGGTCGCTGGGACTTTTGCTGTCCAGCTAGTTGCAGGCTATTAGATGACTGAAAGCTTCTTGATTCATTCCTGATGGGTACCGCCCGCAGATTAGGAGGGAACTGAGATGGGGTTTGCGAAGAACCTGAGCAGCTTGATGCAGTTTTCATAGAATTCAGGGTTGCAGTAAGCAGCTGGAACTCATTCTCAAGTTTGAGTAACTTTGTCTGTAAATCTTTGTTACATTGTTCCAGTTCCCTTAGCTTCATATCATAAACAGCAGATGCCGCTGAGTTGGGCATGATAACGCTAGTATTGTCTATTTCCGAAAGATTATTAACTGCAGAAGTGATTGGTTTTTCCAGTGAAGAAAGAGTGGCTTTGATTACACCAACAGTGTCAGTATCACCATCCAGTTTCAACTTTAAATCATTATAATTAGTTGCAAGTTTGGTGTAGAGTGTGTCACACACCTCACTGGTGATATTTCTGATTAGCACTTTCAAGCCGCCGCCAACATGGTAATGGGATGGTAATGGGATGGTAATTCGACCGCACAACAACAGGCAACACTGCCAAGTTGGACAACTCAATCAGCTGAGGCGGCTGTCAATTCCATAGAGGTCAATACCAATGATATTAATAAAAATATAAACAAACAAAGAATCGAAATTATCAACTCGAAAACCCTAAACACGGCATTGATGGAAGTTGAAACTCGCAATGCAATGCAAAATATTCAAAAATTATACACGAAAAATGAGGACGATGACCAGTGGCAGGTGCAAAGACGAAAGCGCCGACGATATGTGGTGGGCGATAATGAGACAGAAATACAAGGGGTCCCAAAATCTGTCTCACTACACGTAACTAGGCTTGACCCAAGCACAAAGCCTGAAGACCTGAGAAATATGTTAGCTAAGCACTTTCCCGAGGTAATTTGTGAGCAACATCCATCCAAACATCCCACTCTATACTCCTCTATGAAAGTTACTCTCAACTTCCGCAATGCGTGGAAAAGAGAGATATGGCCAAATGGTGCCCTCGTATCTCGGTTTTTTGCCAAGAGGAGGAACCTGTC